ACAAGCTCTTCATTAGCATTTGTCTCAGTGTGCTAATAGATTTCTATTGTGAGATTCACAGTGGTCCACCTCCCACTTTCTGTCTGGAGAAGTTTGTTGCAAGGCATGCTAACTTTGTGTGACCTGCCTTTAACTGCAAGGCCTAGATAACATAATTTTCAGCACATACACGTAACTCCTCACGTTTTCCATATGTACATTTCATAATAACTATGAGGACCAGTGTGACACAGGCTTTCAGCAGGGACTTTATCTTTATCTATCCCTGTACCCATATGTACCCCTAAGCCATCTGCCAGTTGGCATCCTTGGATCACACAAATATTTGAGTCATTACATGCATTTTATTAACACTTTTGGCATAACGGTTCAGACTCTGAAATGGTAAGCTCCCTGGAGTGGGATTATTTGCTTGGCAAAATTGTTAGTAAGCAGCCTATTGCATACACCACCTGATGGAAAGATTTCAAGATTGAGTCCCAGATTCTGATCTCATTTATACAGGCAAATTCCAGGATAAGTCTCTTAGGCCTGATTCTTCTCTCACTATAACTGGTACACAAGTGCAATTCCAGTGAATTTCGGTGGCGTTAGACCTGAATCTGGCCATGCACGCCCCCGCCCATTGGGAACCTCCACCAAAAACTCAAACTGCAACTCTCCAGGCTTGAGAAAGTTTGGCTAACTTTTGTTTTTCATTTTCTTAGGCCTCTGTACATCATGGTTCTCAAAGTGGCAAAATGTCAATATGGCCACTATTTCTACTTTACATCCACCTCCATCAGAAAACAACAAGTTCTGGTGGCAAAATTTTGTCTTGGGAAGTCCAGCCCAAATAGAGAGAACAAAGATTTATGAATAGCTAAGTCAGATAAGGTGGAGATTTGTCATCTGAGCAGCACAGACCATGGTGACAGTCTCTCACTCTCATGCACATTCAGAGTAATTCCATTGAAGTCACACATTGAAGACACAAAATGTTACATTAAAGTCAATGTACATCGTGTTACACTTGTTTAAAATGGGTGTGAATGAGAACAGAATAAGGCCCAATCGGCCTGTTAGAAACAAGGGAAACATTTTATTGTTTGCATTGATATAATCACACACTAGATGGCACTATAGAACTAATAAATGGTACAACATTGAAACTAGCAGATAAGAAGTTACTATTGGAAGTGAGCATTATACTATTATTTATTCATAAATGTGTTATTACAATAAACTAAACACATTTTCCTCCCTTGCAGACATACCTTGAAAACTGGCAACTAGTGTTGCTCTTTGGTCTTGTGAACAATCTCTTTCCGTATATTGCAGTGTCATGCAACATTTATGGGAAAAGTAAATCTGACTGGATGAAATATCTTTCCAGTTTTAAAAAGACATAATATATAGTCTAGGAACATAATGTAGTAAAATCTCATTCTGTGTCTCTTGTTTTAAATGTTGTATTGCTTATCCATATATGCACCTAAGCTGTATTCCTCCTATGCTTTTCTCTGAAAAGATTTGGGGTAAAATTTTCAAAAGCTCGTAAGGCCCATTTTCAAAACAGATTTAGGACCCTGAGACCCACTGACTTTCAATGGGACTTAGGTTCTTAAGTGCTTAAGTCTGTTTTGGGGATTTTGGTTAAGTAAAGCTATGAAAGGGATGGATGCTCCATTTCATAGAGGATGTCAAGATCTCAAATTTGGCTTCATTTCAAAGTGGAATGCAAACCAAATATTTTTAAATTCTCTGCAAAGGAAGATTCTGAAGAATTTCCATGTCAGGTGGGTCAAAATGTTTTAGTTTTGATTAAAAAAAACCTTTATAATACAAAATAAAAACAATTCAAAACAAAAAGTGGTTTCAAAGTAAAACAAAAAATCAAAAAATCCAATTTTCCAATTTTCTTCCACAATTAAATTCCAGCAAAATTGACCTGATTTAGCAAAGCATTTTTATTTTGACAGCACTATATACTGTGACGGAATATGGTTTTCTTGCAGTTTCGCCAACCAGCTCTACTTCTAAATCACTGAGGCACTTTTGAAAAAATTACATTTGATCGGCTGAAAAGATCCTGGTTAAAGATTTTAAGTACAAAGACTATCCAAAAATACTACAAGGGGAACCATTCAGATCCATATTTTTGAAATTATTCAGCCTGTTCAAATTTTTCCAGCACACATACACATTCATCTGGGAAAGATGGGATTGGGGCAAAGGAGTAGCTAGTTTAGCCACATAATTCTGCTGTTGAAAAATCAGACAAATTACATTAATTTCTACCTAGGGTCAGATTCTGATCTTAGTTTCATTGATGTAAATACAGAATAATTTTTCTGAAGACAATGGCGGTCATTGAGATTTACAATCAAAATGTTCACCCCAGAAACTTGTATCAATTCTACAACAGATGTATAAGCAAAGGGTACCAGAGTCTGTTAAATTCTGATCCATTGCCCATCGGAACATACATTCACTATCAGACAAAGAGATGCTTTCTACACATCCCTGAATTTAAAGCTGACTGTTTATAATTGGTGAAGTGTTACAAACATACTAAGTAATATGATTCTTGCAGTGGCATCAAAAATAACCCGATCCTGACTGCTGGTATCAGGGGTTCAATTATTCTGTTTATGGTGACTAATACTTTTGGTTTTCATTACAGAAGTCATTTGCAGCAATAAATCGGTCTGAAAGTGGTTTTCGCTCAGCAAAATATTAGCTAAGATACACTGTTACCCAAGTAAATATTAAATGTAGGGTAACATTTTCAAAAGCACCTAAGTGACTTAGAAGCCCATGTTTAATGAGACGTAGGTGCTTTTGAAAATTTTATCCATGCAGTCATTAGCACTGGTTCGTCTAGGGGCGGGCAAACTTTTTGGCCTGAGGGCCACATCGGGTTTCTGAAATTGTATGGACGGACGGTTAGGGGAGCTGTGCCTCCCCAAACAGCCAGGCGTGGCCTGACCCCCACCCCCCCTCCGACCCCCCCCCCTCCTCACCCCCCCCCGGCCCCCTCCCCCCCCCCCAGGACCCCTGCCCCATCCACCCCTCCCTGTCCCCTGACCGCCCTCGGAACCCCTGCCTGCCCCCCGATCCAACCCCTCCTCTCAATCCTGACTGTCCCCCTGGAACTCCTACACCATCCAACCACCCCTTCTCCCTGTCCCGATACCTCCGGAACCCCTGCCCCTTACTACCCCCCACCACCCCATCTAACCCCCCCCTTCCTGACTGCTCCCCTGGGACCCCTGCCCCTATTCTACCCCAGTTCCCCGCCCTCTGACCGCCCCGCCCCCATCCACCCCCCCACCCCCTGACCACCACCCCGAACTCCCTTGCCCTCTATACAACCCTCCCCTGCTCCCTGCCCCCTTACCGCGCTGCCTGGAGCACCGGTGGCTGGCGGCACTACAGCCGCGCCGCCCAGAGTGCCAGGACAGGCCGCAGCTCTGGAGGAGTCCCGCCGCCCAGAGCATTGCACCGGTGGCGCAGCGAGCTGAGGCAGCAGGGGAGAGGCTAGGGCTAACCTCCCAGGCCAGGAGTTCAGTGGCTGGGCAGGAAGGTCCTGTGAGCTGGATGTGGCCCGCGGGCCACAGTTTGCCCACCTCTGGTCTAGGTCATTTCCAAGTGAGTCACCAAAGCTGATGGCCTTTCCCTGTCCTATGCAAAATTGGTTAGTGATTTCAGTCCATTTCCTAGTGGACAAAACCAGCAAAATTGGATTGTAAACTCTTACTTAAATTGTAAGTTCTTTGGGGCAGGGGCTCACTTTTTGTTCTGGGTTTGTATGGTGCCTAGCACAGTGGGGTCCTTGTCCATGAGTGGGGCTCCCATGCAACACAACTAATAGTAATAACAATAAACTGACACCAGTTAGAACTATTGATAGTCTTAGCAGAGGACAAAGGCTGAGTGGTATGGCAGCTGGGTACCATCTTAGCCCCAGAGTTGATCCCTCCAGGTCAAGGTTAGGGCACACTGACAATGTGTTAGCAGAATAGGAGGATGCTTAAACTTCCATTGCTTATAGTGGATATGTGAACAAATAGCTTCTCCAGAGCTATTATCACAACCACTAAATCCCACTTAACTATTTAAAAGAACAATGCAGTCCACCCTGGTTATATCTCACCTACAAAAACTGGATTTGACAAGCACGTGCAAGTAAACACTTCGGTATTAGTACTATAGTGTTGTTGGCACAAATGCCCAGATAAATTTATTCTTAACAGGAATACTACCTAGTCATTTTGTATTACTATGACATTTGTACAGAAAGAGAAACTATATAAGTGTGTGTGTGTGTGTGTGTGTGTGTGTGTATCACAGTCACATGGCAAATGAGGTACGATCCAAACATGCTGAAAACTCAGCAGCAAGAAAGATTAGAATTTGATAGTGGGTGATTAACAATATGCATTATAGACCTGATCCACTAAAGTCATGGAAAGATTCACATTGACTTCAAGAGGCTTTTGGTCAGGCCATATACGCTTAATTAAAAAATATTCACAATTTGTCCTATTTCCTTCTCTGTTTATCTTCTGTTGGAGATTCTATTAGAAGAGTTAAAATGCTGCCTCTATGTTTGACACAGACAAGATTATTGATGGCTGAACCAGCAAGCCAAGCACTGCAGTGGAGACAGACATTCTAAAAATGTCAGATGCATCACTACCATCCACCTGCTGTTTGCTGAGCTAGTCACAAACTCTGAAGGTTCACAGCAAAACCTTTTCAACTTGTGCCTGGTACCATATTATCACTGAACTCTCAGTTGTGATAAAAATAAAAGAATCCACAAACAACAAAGGGAAATTTGTAGTCAGCATTACTGGAGTGCAGCCACGTACTAACCACCACTCCTTGATCCACACCACTGTTAATATCTTCAGTCCAAAATGTGGTTTGATTTACACTGGTACAACTTCACTGAAGTTAGTGAACACAGAGCAGACTGTTGGGTCACATCATTTTTACTACTACTGATAATGGAAGACAGATCTAGGACCTGTTTTCCTTGTATTTCCTTACTAATAAAATGTAGACCTTATTAACGCCAGGAGACCCAGTGAAGTCTGAGTAAAAGTAGATTAGGCCAGGCCACCACATAGTGCAGAAACTAAATGGTACTGTAATCCAAAGTTGAGTTTGCATTCTACTAGTGGCAAGGGCGGGACAGGGAGAGCCACAGCAAACCCCCAGTGGCCCACAGGGATTGTGACATACATACAGGATCCAGTCCTGGAACTGAAAAATCAACTTGACAAACCTTTTACTCCCCCGTTTTCTTCCTGCGGCAGCCTGCCCCATACATGCAAATCAGTGAACTTCTATTGACCAAAACAAAACAAAAATAGTACTAGATGAATCCTTTCCTTATACGGTTCTGGACAACAGCCATTGTCTTTGGCATTCTGAGAAGTGATCAGTCAGTCACATAATGGAGCAGCAGCACTTTTTGGGGTAGTTCTCTGCATACACCCTATTTTCATCTCCATACACATAATAGGAATACCGTTTCCCTTGCCATTCGTATTCCACTTTAGTAAGAGGAATCAGCTCAATAGTTTGCCTCTGGAAGAAAGAGAGAGACAGAAAAAACAAGGATAATGAAGCTAAATCTATACAATACAGAAGGATTTGTAAGCTCTCTTGGTGGCATTTTCAAAAGCACTTTATGTAGCACTTTGCATGTTTGAAGACCAGTGTAAGCATTAAATAATTAATCCGCACCACACCCCTGAGTAAGAAAGCATGATAAGTCCCATTTTACAGGTGTGGAAACTGAGGCACATAGAGGAGAAGTGAGCATACCTACCCACAGGCAATCAATGGCAGAGTTGAGATTCTAACCCAAGGAGTTCCTGTCTCCCAGTACTATGTTCTATCTCGCTGGCAGTTCTCTTATGCTCACTTCTAATAATATTGCATTTTTCTTTATTATTACACTCGCCCCTGCCCCGCCCCATTCTAAATCAATTTAAAGATGTTTAAAGGTCTTGGTATGCAGGCACTTAAGAAAATCCAATCCATTTAATGTTAATAGTCATTATCCACCTAATGGAAAGTCTCTTGCTCTGGTGCTTGAAGAATTGTTTCAAATGGTCCAATAAAAAAGGGCACAGTGAGACTTGCACAAATGCTAAGCTGCTACAGTCTGACGTCCACAAACTAGCTGCTTTGCCTCCTCTTATCAGACGCGGGCTGCAGTGCACTCACCTGTCTCAGTACACGAGATGTGGATGCAAACTGAGTGTGATGCTGCACAAGAGCATTTTGGGAAGCCTGACTTATGGAAGGATCAGGAAAATTCACAACAGGATAAACCTGGAGAAATGGAAAACATTTAAGACACACAAATAGGAAAGAGATCACAATTACTTCCAAATATCAGGCCCATCTCAGTCCTGAGGTCTCTCGGGACTTGTCTCCACAGGGACAAATTAATCTAAATTAACTAAAGGTGGGAATTTTAAGTGGATAATGTTAAACTTCATTAAACCTCTGTGTGGACACCATAATTCAGAATTAAAGTGGCTGTAATTCGGTTTAGTTTAATTCACTTCCAGAGTGAATTAAGGCCACTTCAATTCTGAATTATGGTGCATTCAGACAGGGCTTTAATGCAGTTTAACTAATCCATTTAAAATTCACACCAATAGTCAATTCAGATTCATTTTCCTGAGTGTCGCAGTGGAGACAAACCCTCACTCACATGAGTAATCTTTATTCACAGCAGTGGAACAGATCAATGGAGCTATGCCAGTTTACATCAACGAGGCTCTGGCCAGTGAGGTCAATGGAATTGCTTGCATAAAGAAAAGCGACTCACGTGAGTACGGTTTTGTAGGCACCCCTACGGTTTTGTAGGACATTTTGTGCCAGTTGTAAAGAAAACAAAAGCATTCTTCCCTAGTATCTTTTTCAGCAGTCTTCACTGCTACTAGGTATCAGCTAATTATGTTGCACTTGCTAAAAACTAAGGGCCTGTCTGTGCTAGGTTTCAAAAGGGGATTAGTCACACTAGTGCAAGCCATGTCTTACACCATCTACACTGGGGCAAAAACTATACACAAACCCTATGGGCTAAATCTTGAAAAGCAATATGCTCTGGATTTCCAGGGTAGTCACCTAATTGCACTTGATTGTGGATTCCTTGGCAGGATCTACAAGAATCACTGCAATCAACTCCAAATATACCCTGCAGGAAATCAATATGTATCATCCATTTTGTAGCTCCTCCAAAAGTGGGTGGTTAAGAAGGACTTGGAGTGTGTTATGAAATACCAAGCCACCCCAAACATGAGTGCTGCTATTATTATTATTTGTATTATGGCAGCACCTAGAAGCCCCAGACATGGGTTCAAACACAGAACCAGTCTGAGATTAACAAACTATGATAGGTGCTATGCAGGGGTGCCTGGTCCCTGGAGAACCTCTAGAGGGTTAGCCACCAGGAAAATCAGAAGACATTGCATTTATATTTGCTATTTAAAAGCTCCTGCAAATATGTAACCGTGAGAGGAACAAAGCTGCAAAATTTAGATCTGGATTTCCAACATCACAAAGCCGGATGCTATTTAGGTCTGGGTTTTTTCTTTGGGACTATCTCTAATGTAAACTGCATGTAACTAAATATATTTTAAATTTATTTTTTTGCGTGTGAGCCCTGGGAATTTATGTGAGCCCAGTGACCATAAACCCATACACTGCTAGCCCAACAGATATATGACCGATAGGCCAAATGCAGGGAAAGTGCGGCTTTCAATCCACAGATGTAGATATGGGACGACATTATCTGCTAGTGTTAATTAGCACAGCTTAAATGGAACTGCACCAGTTTATGCCAACAGAGGATTTGGCCCATTGTTGTGGGAAATATAATGAGATCCATGTTGCAGGGATTTACAGGACTTTGCCCTGGTCTGAACAGTAAAAGGCGTTGAACATCTCTCACTCCCATTGACTTCATTTGGGATTTGCGGTGAGCAGCACCTCTGGTCATCAAGCCAAAGAGGTGAATTGATACACACACAAAATATCCCAAACCAGCAACTGGCCCTGAGTCTTTTCAATAACTTTTTTACTAAAAAAGGAAAATCCTACTGTAGATGACATTTGAGAATTAACTAATTTAGTTACATTAGTAACCAGAAAAACAGAGCGCTGTGTTCTCAAACGTCTTTTTCTTCTTTTGATACCTTAAATTCTTAGTAAACTCAACCTCAGGCTATGTGAGTTGTTCTGTTTCCAGACCTGTCATTTTGCTATTTCAAGAGGTGATAGAGTCTAGAGTTTCATTACCATGGACTGTTCATCAACAAACATCTTCTGCCCAGTGACCTCCTTGAAGAGATCAGCAGGAAACCCAGATCTCTGGTCCGCCACATATTCAAAAATGTTGTTCTTCCTACAAGAACAAGAACACAAATATTGCCACCTATTGTATCTCCCCTTACTCAAATGGATTTTAGAGGGCCCCTTCTTTATGTGTTTCTTGTGCTACAAAAACATAAAACTCCACAAGGCAGAGTTGTTAAATAAGTTCTCCAATCTGTACTGAGGTTCCTGGTGGTAGAGCTTTAAACACAACACATGGTAGTCTTTGTACTTTTCTAATGATAATATGGAGGCATGCTATGCTAAAATGCAAACTTTGAGACTTTGGCATTCAAATTCCAGTTGTAGTGGATCCAACTGAAATGCTGAGATGGTTTATTTATATTTGTTCTTTGGAACAATCCTCTTACAAAGCCCATCAAGTGATATTAAAATAAAATGCCTTTAAAAATTACAAATATTAAAATAACAATGGCTGAACATTTTTAAGTCAGTGACTGGGCCAACAGAGGACAACAGGGGTTTAATTCAGACCAATGTAAAACAATCTGGGAATTCTAACCCAATCTGGAGCCTGAAAAGTCGAAGAAGATACTGCACTACAGTAGATTAGCAAGGGGACAGGATACAAAGCAAGAGGTAAAACTGCTGTTCTGCAAGGCACATGTTAGACCACCCCTTCTGGTACTCCATGTACTACCCTGGTCATTGAATCAGGGAAGGACATTTTTTCTCCTTCATATGAAACGCAGTGTAGAACAACAAGGATCTCATTAATTAAATAAGCAGGGAATAACTCTCCTATTCTTTACTGTAACTCCTCCCTAAATAGTCATCAATGATTAAACAGCCAGTGATGTGATACTGAGTCCAGTCCTAATCTATGTTTCTTTGTTGCTGGCACAACATCAGAGAGATGAGCTCCTGACATAACCCATAGCTTTGATCCTATTTTAGTAAAGGGCCACAACTAAGCTTTCAACTTCACTGTTTATTGTAAATTTTCATGAAGCTTGTCTCCTCCAACATCCTTCTTAAGATGCTGCTCTCTTTTGGAGCTTTCTGGTAAATTTCAACAGACTTTTTGAAATGATAATTAGCTGGTATGGATTTGTGTACAGCCCAACTTTGTGAAGCTGGTAATGTTCTTGAAATCCTAACTGCCCCCTTCCTGGGGGAAATCCAGCCTGTCAGAACATTGCCGATTTAACCCTGTATGTACCACGGTGAGGATGAAGGAGCTTCTCTATAATTATTTAAAGTTTTATTAGACTTGCCATTTGACTTGAAGCTCAATGTAGTACAGCAACTGTCCTTTTCCTGCACACGTTAGGCAGGTTTTGTGGCCTGAACCAGAACAACTGTTGCATCTGTAGACAAAAAATGATAATTACAATGGATGGTGAGAAACTACTACCACAGTGATTTCGGATACATACACTGTGTGTGTGCATGCACACATGCACATCACACTTCATTTGGCATCACATTGGAGATCCAGTCCAGCTGATGCTTACTATTTGCCATCGTGTCTACTACCAGGAGTTGTCTCACTGAAGAACATGACTTCAATAAATTCACTGACCCATTGACTCCTGGTAGTAAATACTTTACCAGTTAGTAAGTATTTATAGTATTGAGTCCTAATCCAGTATTTTATATGTATGGGTAAGCCATGGAGTCTACTCTCTGTTTCCAGTCACAAGTTTATTCACACTTAGCATGATTCTATGAGTGTTTCCAGCAGCAACTAGACAGCTTCACTGCAATGTCTTAGGTAGCTGATGCCACCAAAGCACTGGGGAAACATTGTTCTCCAAGCACAAGGTTCAGTTTCAAGTACACAGTGGTTCTGCTATTGAGGCACTGCCACCCGCACAGAAAAATGAGATGGTATAATCTCAGTAAAACAGACTGACACTATTCGCAGCTGTGAATTTCGAAGAAGAGCTCTTCCAGAGCTAGGCTGCAGCTGGGTTGAACTCTCCAACTACCCTCCTGCCTTGGAAATAATTGCTTCCCCGGTAACTCATGGCTTCCTAGGGAAGCCATCGAAGGCAGTAAATCTTCACAAACAGACAAGGGGTGTCAACACAAAGCTTGCAGGCAGGAAGTAACCAGTGGAGGGAAACTCCGTGCTATGCAAAGAAATGGAGAGGAGCTTACTTATAGGTGGAAAGGAAGCTGGATGGGACTCTACAGGTCTAGTTTTGAAGAGTGCACTAAAAAACTCCGGACCAGCCCTGGCCCCAGAATGAATAATACATTTTGCTCATTCCAGCAGGAGTTTCAACAGCAACAGCTGGACTTCATTGATTATCCTGGGCAGGCACAGCCCAGCACTGAGGGGCATTTTCACAAACCAATTAATACTTGTACAGCTACGTTGGCTAGCTGAGCCCACCTAAGAATCTGACTTTGAACTGTCCCTGAATGTAGCATTATTCCACCCCTGCTGCCAACGAGCCACAGTTTTGAGGCTGATGCTAATTAAAATATGGACTTGTCAGGTTGGCTTCTCCTTGAGTGTTGACTCACCTGCTCCGTCCAGAACCTCTGCAGTGTGTGCACCTGTCCTTACTCAGTTGTTTCCCAGAGCCATGACAAATCCAGCACTGTATCTGCATTAATTAGATGGAAAACTCAGAGCTATATATACTTTGCCAGAGCACTTTGCTGGTGTTGCAACCTTCATTTCCTCACATGGAAAACAGATTACAAGTTTAATAGACTCATAGATCTTTAAGTCCAGAAGAGGTCATTAGATCTTCTAATCCAGGGGTAGGCAACCTATGGCACGTGTGCCGAAGGCGGCACGCGAGCTGATTTTCAGTGGCACTCACACTGCCCGGGTCCTGGCCACCGGTCTGCGGGGGCTCTGCGTTTTAATTTAATTTTAAATGAAGCTTCTTAAACATTTTAAAAACCTTATTTACTTTACATACAACAATAGTTTAGTTATATATATAGACTTATAGAATGAGACCTTCTAAAAACATTAACATATATGACTGGCACGCAAAATCTTAAATCAGAGTGAATAAATGAAGACTCGGCACACCACTTCTGAAAGGTTGCCGACCCCTATTTTAATCTGTATAACACAGGCCATAGAATTTCACATAGTTATCCCTGTATTGAGTCCTGTAATGTGTTTGACCAAAGCACTCCTAATAAACATAAATTAATCTTTAAGGGCCCTACTCCACAAACCTCCATTGCACTCAGCACCTTACTACACAAGTTAGTCCCATGAACTGCTTGAGAGATGCTTAGATCTGTGAGCTCTTTGTGACAGAAACTGTCCTTTTGTTCTGTGTTTGTACAGTGCCTAGCACCATAGGGTCCTGGTCCATGACAGAGACTCCTAGGCACTACGATAATACAAATAATAAATAACAATAAATGCTGTAAAACAGAGCACAATACAATTGTGAACTCTTCACAGCCAACCTCACTCCCCTTCTAACTGCCCAAAGCTATTTGATTTCAGCATCTTTGCCTGGTTCTTATTTCAACACCTTTCCCCAGAATGAATTCAGTCCTAAGCAAAGGATCCCCTTAGACATGGCTACTCACCTTTCCTCTTCCATGACACTTTCTGCAGCGAATTCTACCTGAACATCGACAATTATGGCAGCCCTTAAATCAAAAGAGAAATTTTAAAAGAAGCCAGTGGTTTGACATTTCTTTAATTTAGCTCTTTATGTTACTATCTGGATGCCTCTTGGTACCCCCCCCCCCCCCCCAAAAAAAGACAATGGGAATTTTTTTTTCTTCTTTTGTGGAAACATTCTAGAGAAACCTCATTCTTTACACTTTTATAAGGCCTTTCATTCAAAGTTCTTAAAGAGTTCTACAGCTACCTACAGCCAAATTACAACCACCCTTCTACAGGTGGAATTGGGAGAGAAGTCATTAAGTAACAGTGTGTCTTTTGTTTTGCAAAGTAGCTGTCCCCAAGGTCCATCCAATCACGTGAGAGAGTGATTTTGAATGACAGCCCATGTATGCACTTCTATAATTTGTTTGAAGTAAGGCTAAAACACTCAGCCCATGTTTACACTAGGGAATTTTAGGAGGGGAAACTGTCACCAGTGATAACACTGGTTCAACTAGACCCTGTGGTAGCACTAGTGAGAGCCTTAGTGTAGACAAAAATTCATGCTAAACCAGTATTAGCACAGGTGGTAGAAAAGCAAGAAGGGAACAGTCTATGTGAGAGCATGAATGCTCAGTCTGTATGCTGGAGCTCTCTTCGGGCAGGGCTACATCTGTGAGTTACAAGCTGCTCTTCGCTTACGAATTCTAATTTCACTTCCAAAGAAAATACCCACACAAATAAATTAAACTAGGATACCATGTCCTGTGACTCTCTCAGTTCATTTCTTTCCCTATAAGGGGATAACTGGAATTCACACATTCCTGACTACAATGAAGCACTTATTGATTATTGTAACAGATAGGTGAACTGAGGCACAGAGCGGAACTTGCCCAAAGTGAGACTGTGTCAGAGCTGGGACTAGCACTCAGGTGTAATGATCCCCAGTTCACTTGATTTACCCATTAGACAATAATACCTTCCATATCACAGCATATATTAGACTCCTATTCAGTTTGCTCTTGGTCCTTCTTCATGGCTGTGTATTGCCCATTTTCCCCCCTCTCACTCCTCCCCACCTTTAAGAAGTAAGGTTTAATGATGGAAGAGGTCAGATATTTAAAGTGAGATAACTCTCTCAAAATTCCTTTCTTATTACAGAAGGGAAAGAACAACATCTATTAAATCACACCTTATTAAAATGTCCCAAAGTATCTCTTTTGCTGGACTGTAGCACTGCTTTCCCAAAAGACAGGGCTTTTTCTCACAAAATACCAGTGATTTTACAAAACACAAAAAAACGGCTCAAGGGAAGCAGAAAGTGATGCTTCCATATTTGGATAACAATTTTAAATAGAAATAAAAACGTTAAAAAACAAATAACTCTCTTGCTTATAATTAAATAATTTGGGATTTTGATAGAACTAATTCATCTTGATATAAAAAAGCTCCTAAACCTGCCATATACCTTTAACAAATTTATACAGTCCTGTAGGTTCAATCTGTCTCTCTCTGAAACAATACCTCACTCTTATATAGCACTTTTCCCTCATAGATCTAAGAACACTTTACAAAGGTGGTAAGTATCAGCTATGGTTATATTAGCTTTTACACTCCATATATTCTCACATTGGGCTTTATTCATGATTGTCCTAAGAACCCTAATGGGCCATGGGGTATCTCCTGGTGTAGGAGTAACCTGCAGATGGTGGACTACTCACATAACTGGCTCTATGCGTCTTCCCCTCCACTCCGCACTGAAGCCCTCACTGCAGAGTGCGCATCAGGGGGATTCTTTGAGAAGTGAAAGTGGCTACCGTGTTCCCCTGCCCCAGCTATCATAATAGCCCATTAGGGAAGCAGGTTTACACAGCTCAGTTCAAATTAGGGCCGCCCTGAGGCTGAGAATGTCCCCAGCTGGTCAAAGACAGGGGAGCATAAACTCTGGCAAATGAAGTATAAAAATATAATTTGGAAGGCCAAAAAAGAACCTGAAGAACAGCTAGACAGAGACTCAAAAAGTATTAGCAAAAAAAATTTTAAATACATCAGAAGCAGGAAGCCTGCTAAACAACCAGTGGGGCCACTGGACAATCGAGATGCTAAAGAGCACTAAGGGATGATAAGGCCATTGCAGAGAAACTAAATGAATTCTTTGCATCGGTCTTCACGGTTGAGGATGTGAGGGAGATTCCCAAACCTGAGCCATTCTTTTTAGGTGACAAATCTGAGGAACTGTCCCAGACTGAGGTGTCATTAGAGGAGGTTTTGTAACAAATTGATAAACTAAACAGTAATAAGTCACCAGGTCCAGATAGTATTCACCCAAGAATTCTGAAGGAACTCAAATGTGAAATTTCAGGACTACTAGCTGTAGTCTGTAACCTATCATTTAAATCAGCTTCTGTACCAAATAATATATGGAGATATACCTACCTCATAGAACTGGAAGGGATCCTGAAGGGTCATTGAGTCCAGTCCCCTGCCTTTACTAGCAGGACCAAGTACGGATTTTGCCCTAGATCCCTAAGTGGCCCCTTCAAGGATTGAACTCAGAACCGTTGATTTAGCAGGCCAATGCTCAAACCACTGAGCTATCCCTCCCTGAAAGATAGCTAATGTGACGCCAATTATTAAAAAAGGCTCCAGAGCTGACCCAGGCACTTACAGGCCAATAAGCCTGACTTCAGTACTGGCCAAACTGGTTGAAACTATAGTAAAGAACAAAATTGTCAGATACATAGATTAACATAATTTGTTGGGGAAGAGTCAACATGGTTTTTGTAAAGGGAAATCATGCCTCACCAATCTACTAGAATTCTTTGAGTGGGTCAACAGGCATGTGGACAAGGGGGATTCAGTGGATATAGTGTATTTAGATTTTCATAAAGACTTTGACAAGGTCCCTCATCAAAGGCTCTTAAGCAAAGTAAACAATCATGGGATAAGAGGGAAGGTCCTCTCATGGATTGGTAACTGGTTAAAAGATAGGAAACAAAGGGTAGGAATAAATGGTCAGGTTTCAGAATGGAGAGAGGGTTAAATAGTGGTGTCCCCCAGGGGTCTGTATTGGGACCAGTCCTACTCAACGTATTCATAAATGATCTGGAAAAAGGGGTAAACAGTGAGGTGGCAAAATTTGCAGATGACACAAAACTACTCAAGATAGTTAAGTCCCAGGCAGACTGCGAAGACCTACAAAAGGATCTCTCAAAACTGGGTGACTGGACAACAAAATGGCAGATGAAATTCAATGTTGATAAATGCACATTGGAAAACATAATCCCGACTACACATATAAAATGATGGGGTCTAAATTGGCTGTTACAAGTCAGGAAAGAGATCTTGGAGTCATTATGGATAGTTCTCTGAAAACATCCACTAATTGGGCAGTGGAGGTCAAAAAGGTGAACAGAACATTGGGAATCATTAAGAACGGGATAGATAATAACGCAGAAAATATCATATTGCCTCTATATAAATCATTGGTATGCCCACATCTTGAATACTGCCTGCAGATGTGGTCACCCCATCTCAAAAAAGATATATTGGAATTGAAAAAGTTTCAGAAAAGGGCAACAAAAATGATTAGGGGAATGGAATCGCTGCCATATGAGGAGAGATTAATAAGACTGGGACTTTTCAGCATGAGTGGTGTGGAGAAAGTAAATAAGGAAGTGTTATTTACTGCTTCTCATAACACAAGAACTAGAGGTCACCAAATGAAATTAATGGGCAGCAGATTTAAAACAAACAAAATGAAGTATTTTTTCACACAACGAACAGTTAACCTGTTGAACTCCTTGCCAGATGATGTTGTAAAGGCCAAGACTATAACAGGGTTCAAAAAAGAACTAGATACATTCATGGAGGATAGGTCCATCGATGGCTATTAGCCAGGATGGGCAGGGATCATGTCCCTAGCCTCTGTCTACCAAAAGCTGGGAATGGGCGACAGGGGATGGATCACTTGATGATTACCTGTTCTGTTCATTCACTCTGGTGCACCTGGCATTGGCCACTGTCGGAAGACAGGATACTGGGCTAGATGGACCTTTGGTTTGACCCAGTATGGCTGTTCTTATGTTCTTATGAGGTGCAAAAGTAACTTAAATCTGCCTTACGCGCCACTTCAGTCCCTGTGAATGAAATGTGGCCCCATTATAACAGTGGTCTCCAAACAGTGGTCTCCTAGTGGGGCACAGAGGAACATTTGGGGAGGTGCAGCAGGGCCCCCAGCTCTGCTCCGGCCCCAGTTCCCGGTCTCGGCCCCTGGTTCCCATCCCTCAGCTGCAGTCCCAGCCTTGTCTCCTGGCTTTCGGCCCAGCCACAACTCTGGCCACAGCATCAGCCCCGGCCCCAACTGTGGCCACGCTCCCGACCCTGCTCCCAACCATGGCTTGGGGGTGGGGACACGGCAGGGGTTAGGAAGGGCACACGGTGAAAAGTTTGGGTACCACTGCATTATAAGTTTGCTCTTGCACCACCAAAGTCAATGGCAAAATACTCCCACTGACTTGAGTGGTGCACGAATGGGACCCAAGTGCATATGTGTGTAGATTGCAGGGGGAAATGAAACATATTGGGTCTAATCTTCTATTCAAATCAGAGTCAACAGAAAGAGTGGATGCTCCATGTCTCTGCAGATAAGGTCTGTCTTTCTAGATAGTATTTAAATGTGTGCTCAGAGTAGAAAGTTTTGCGAACTGAATCTCAGCACCTAGCACACTGCAGCTTTAGCGAGCATACAGCACTTTGTGAGCACCGTTCAAATTTTACACCAGCTCATTAGGAAAACAAAATGCATATTAACTCACTTTGTTTTGCTGTTGTATCTGCTGAAGATGGATACCCACCAACAGCCAGTGTCATAAAAATACAAATGGCCCAGTATCAAATCACAAAAATTATCTCCATCATAAAACATGAATAAGTGTCCATATGTTTCCCACTACAGGGCCAAATCCTGAGTGGGGCTGTGTGCCTGCAAGGAGCATTAACATCGGTGGAGACAGGATAGCAGCACCCCTCAGGATTTGGCCCACAGCTATTTAAAGCTGGGGGGAAAATATTCATTGTTTTGACATTCAGAGTATTGTCTAACAGTTTAAAGTGCCTCTTGCTAATAAAGCAGACCTTGGTTTTATAGAGCAGCTCTCCTATCACACTCATAGTCCCCTAAATGGGGCTAAATGCTGGCCCAGTGGCTGTGCACTCAGAAACAGCTGTCACGCCTTCTTGGGTGATAGAAGCTTGATCTTGCAACTCTTACCAGGCTTTACTCATGTGAATAATTCTTACCCAGGCTAGTATTCCCACTGATGTCAATGGGCAAGTGGGGATTAATCACGTGAATAAGGGTTGCAGGATCAGAGCCTAGAACCCATTTTGCTGAGCAACAGCACATAGCTTGGGACAGCTGCTTTCACGTCTCTCTCTTGGAGGATGGCGTTTTCAAAATCACTTAGCACTGGCCTCACTCTGCTCCCATTGAACACTCTGTTAAAAACCCCATTGACTTCAGTGAGGCTACAGCTAGGCCAACACGGTGCTTTTGTAAATCCCACCGTTTCTTTGTGAGAATATCGACAATTTAACGTCCACCTGTAAAATCAGCAGCCATGAGCTGAGAGGACTTTCCCCTAACCTCTCATCCAAAGATCAGAAAATATCTCTTGGCTAGCTGCTTGTTTCTGCGGTGCATTTCTATCAATAGAAACAATGGCAGAATGTGACTGAAGATGCCGTGGAACAGGGGTTGGCAACCTTTGGCACGTGGCTCGCCTGGGTAAGCACCCTGGTGGGCCGGGCCAGTTTGTTTACCTGCCGCGTCTGCAGGTTCGGCCAATTGCGGCTCCCACTGGCTGTAGTTCGCCGCTCCAGGCCAATGGGGTCGGCGGGAAGCAGCAGCCAGCACATCCCTTGGCCCGCAGCTTCCCGCAGCCCCGATTGGCCTGGGATGGCGAACCGTGGCCAGTGGGAGCCACGATTTGCCGAACCTGCAGACGCGGCAGGTAAACAAACCGGCCCGGCCCACCAGGGTGCTTACCCTGGCGAGCCGCGTGCCAAAGATTGCCGACCCCTGCCATAGAAAAATACCGGTCTGCGATGGGGTGTTCACCCCACACTTGCCCTGAAAGGGTTAATGAAGACTAAAAAGGGGGCTAATTAACCCAACCGGCCATGGCTGAGAGAATCAGGTGGCTAAGTAATTCCTGGACTGAGTGAAGGAATACAGTTGGGGAGGAACAAGCTGGGTTGGGGCTATAAAGGTAGGAAATTGGCAGCAGAAAGGGGCTGATGGGAAAGTCTGCAGTCACTCCCCAGGAGAAGGGAGGTGTGTTTGGGCTGGCAAACCAGTGATCGGAGAAGACAGGAAGGTAGGACCGGGCTCAGGGAAAGGCAGTAAGGTCTAAGACGGAACAAAACTTGACTGCTGGATAGAGGATCCCTGAGGTAAAACCCGGAGTAGAGGGTGGGCCCGGGTTCCCCTGCCAGCCACTGAGGGAGTGGCACTACAAGGCAGTGAACAGGAAGACTGCTTAGGACTGCTGGCAAAGAAAGATTTTCCAGCTGTGGAAGGGAAACCATTTTGTGACCTGGCCAAAGGGCCAAGAGGCAGCAGCAGCTCGTGGAGCAAGAGAAGGGCCACAGACCCAGAGAGGGAGGCAGAGGATGGCATGCAACTGCAGGAAGGAGCGTGGGCTTCGCGAGCTATTCCCAGAGTGACCAGGAGAAGGCGCCATCCTAACAGTGAGTGGAGCACCCTACACGGACTCATTTATTTTTAAATATATGTATTTATATACATGTAAACTCACCAAAGCACCGGATGAGGTGATCTATTATTAGTTAAGCTCTGGAATAAATTGCCTAGGGAGGTTGTGGAATCTCCATCATTGGAGATTTTTAAGAGCAGGTTAGACAAACACCTAGGGATGGTCTGATAATACTTAATCCTGCCTTGAGTGCAGGGGACTGGACTAGATGACCTATCGAGGTCCCTTCCAGTCCTACAATTCTATGATTCTATGATTATAATACCTTTAATGAAGACGTGTGAGGCACTTTGACTCTGGTTATGTTGTCTGTGAACATGGTAGGGACTTCCACTTGTATAGTCCATGGCAAAGGAGCGGGCCCAAGCAAAAAAGAGTCAACAAATTCACCTGAAGCAGAGACAAAACTGTACTGAGTACAAACACCAGGTATTTCCTGACACCTGCAATTAAATCATGCCACACCTGTATCTGTTATGTTGATCCCAGTTAACGTGATTAGCTAAAATAAATACCACTTTTATGTCAAAGAGTTCCATTGTTTACCAACCATAATTTCTTTCCAAAAAGGAAAATTTTATAGAGTATTTTGCAAACACAAACAAATCCAGCTAAAATATTCAACCAAAATGGTGTTAATGCAGCATAGTCAAATTTCCTCTGAGAAATTAAGATTACAAAAATCGTTGTTTCCAAAATTCAGTGAAAAACACTTCTTGTGAGCTCTAATCCTGAAAACACTTTTCTGCATGCTTATCTTTACTACTATGAGTAGTCCCATTTGAAATCAAGGTTAGCAAAGTTAAGCAAATGCCTAAGCGTTTGCAGGATCAGGAACTTAGTAGTTACAAAGCAATTGTGTTCAATAAATCTTGGCTTCAGGTCCCCAATGAATGGAGTGGGCAGTGGTTATGAAAAAGAAAAACAAATCCCTAAGCTAAGAGACAGTCAAGTAAAATCCCTTTTTTGCTCTGCTTCCCTCAGGAGGAATAGAATCACTCCACACCAGTTTGACAAACCCGCAAATCAAAATCCCTCTATGATTACTACAGTCAGTCAAAAAAAGGTTGCAAAATATCTTGAAATTTTCAGTCACCCATTTTGCAAGTTGCAAAAAGGAATGATTATTCGTTTGAAATTTTTCATAAAATCAAGAATTTTCAGGGCTTAAGTCTTTGCTCCCCCTTCCCCGGCCTTTTTTTTTTCTCCATCAGCCCCACCCCTATTTTTCCCCTTTCTTTTTTTCCCCCTCCATTCCTTTCTTTTTTTTCTTTTGCCTGTCAAAAAGAGGAGGAAAAGGAAAAAACGAAAACTGGGGAAAAAATGAAAACTGAAAATGATTCATTCCCAGTTAAATGAATAAACCAGAAATTTTATTTAAGATTTTGGGGGGGGCAAAATTTTCCATTTTTTAAAAAAAGGCCATTTTTCAACAAAAATTTTTGCTTTGAAAAATTTCAACCAACTCTATGTGACACGTTGCTTGAAGGCTACCAGAACACAAATCTCTTCTGGTTTGCCAACTCCTAATAACTCTGAAATGTTCGCTGTCACCTAGTTTCTATAACATTTGCCTTACAATGGACTGGAGTGTTCCCTCCATTTACATAAAAACTATGAATTAGGCACAAAGTCCTCGGTAAGCTCCAGTACACACCAGAACTTTCACGTTCTTATGGAGTTAGAACGCTTCCTTCAAGGATCTAGTTTATTTCAACTTCCAAACTACATAAATCACATACCATATTCATAAATCAACTGGCTTATTGTGCTTAAGGTATGTAATGAATTGTCATAGTCTTTTTATCCGGGCACGCGTTTTATTTTATTTTTAATAACTGCAGTTCGGCAGCTGAGTGCATTTCTGCCATTTTTTATTAGCTTTTGGCAGAAATGCACAACACAACAGTTAGACCTGTATCATAGAAGAGGCCGATCACACAAGATTCTTACTTGACCTCAGAATCCTACTTACCCTTGTAAGGTGTTGTCTTCCAATCAGATGATCTGGATTCAGTGAAGGTCTCTAGCCGATACTAAAAAATGAATTAATTAACATAAAACAAAAACCTATAACAACCCCAGAGTGGGAGTGATTGGGCATTCAATGCAGTGTATACAAAAACCCAATTGGGACTGCAATCTGGAGTGTAAGAAAGTAGATTCACACTAGCCAAAATAATGACCAATCTCACTGTTGACAGGGTGAGGTGATATCTTCATAGAATGCTGTATTATGAGCCTGAGCCAAAGTCCATCAAAATAAACAGGAGACTTTCCATTGTTATCAATGGTCTTTTGATCAGGCCACATATTTGCTCTATACCAGCAGTTCCCAACCTACACCTGATCTATTTAATTTCCCTATTTCTTTTTGTTTTAGTCATTCGCTTCTTCTTTATTTACCTTTTCATTTGGCTATTTTCCTCATATCCCCTCCCTCTCTTCTATTCCCACATACTTCTGCTCTTCACTTTAGTTTCACCTAAGCTAACGTTATCTATCTATGGGTTTTTAGAGGACAAGTCGCCATGGAATATTTGCTGTTGTTTGGAATTCAGTGATTGGTCCTATTAATTAACAGTTGTTTCTCTCTCTGACATTGTCTATGCTGTCAGTTTTTCAGGATATCTCCCACTGTTCACTACCAATGGTGCAACTGCATTGGTTCTAGTAGTGGTGGCTACCTATGTAGACTGACTGCTGACCTTTTTACTCAGGTCCTTACCCTATTTGGATCAGGGATCAAAATGGAATATATATTTTTAAAAGACTTGACTCTGGCAAAAAGGTCCATAGCAATAGAATCAAATTATGAACCTACATTTTCCAGATTCTAAACCAAGCAATCATTGAAAAGCTACAAAGTGGAAGTAGCTCTTTGCTGTCATTCTAAAGATTACTTTCCTTTATGATTCCCCAGATGTTTAGAACGCCCAAACACAATTCCAAACTGAAGCTAGCCACACCATCCCAATGGGAATTTCTCAGTAAGGGGGCTATTGTGTGGGTAAGGGTAATTTGCAAAGCTTGGCAGCTGTTTGATCCCAGTGAAATGCCCAGCTCCCGCTGAAGTTAGTAGACAAACTCCATTGACTTCTGTGCAAGTAAGTTGGGCTGCAAAAGATGAACATACTCTGTAGGTGTTGAATGGCTGCAGAGTCCGAAACACCATTTCCTTGGCAGGGGCCGAGCTATAGCAGCACTTACTGGCTGCGTACTGTATAAAAGCTTCTTTGGCTGCATCTTCTGAAACAGCAGGAATGCTACCAGAAAGAGATAAGAAAGCGTGGACCGGTTTGAAATTGGCTTTCAATTTTCAGAGCGATTTCGCTGTACACTGAACATCCACCCAACCCCTTTCAGAAGACATCACAGCATCACACATTCTCCCATAAAAGGCCTCTCCCTAATTTACATAGCACTCCACTGCGCTGACAGAAAAATGCTGGATAAGATGACAGGTTTGGAAAAACCTAAACTCTCTTAGAGATTCAAATCCCAGCCAGGGTAACTTAAGCCTTCATCTCTCCCAAGTAGCGAGGCAGTTTAGGATGAGAGATGTTTAGGATGCAACATTAACAAGTGAGGTCCTGTCAGAATTTCATGGACACTGGCACCTGATTTTCAACCATCAGGTCAGCATGTACAGTATTTGAGAATGTGAAAATTTATGCCTATTGTGCACCTCAGATGTGTGCATGTAAAATCCCTGAATTTGCTCACCCGTGGCTAAGTGCATGCTTATCTACTGAGCAGCATATACTGATCATGGCTTTGTGAACACATATCTTGATGTGTAAGGTAGGCACTTACATGTGGGCTGGGAGAACTGAAAATGGGGAAGGCCTAAAGCTCCCATAGTACCATTGATAAGAGCAGTGTCTGACCCCATGTCATTGGCCAAAAAATTCCCTTTGCTCTCTTGTGTGCAGTGTGCCAGTTGGCTGCCACCCTCTCATCACAGTGTTGATTGTGCTTAGTTTGCAAAGGATGCAAGGTAACGCTTAATCATCATCATTACATTTGAAAGCACATCTTACTTCCACTCTGTTTGGGCTGGAGGGGGCCCACCTCCACGATCGGGCACCAGATCTGATGGAGGAGGTAAATCTTTTCCTCCTGCGAGAAACAAAAAGGCAGAAGTTGGTATTTTACAGGTTTAGAGAGACACATTAATTTGCTACTTGTCCTTCAATTCCTGTCTGCTTTTGAACTAAGGCCAAAATCACCAGTTTCTGTCTTGTTCTAATGAACGGCCTCTGACCAGCACAGGACACACACAAAATATCAGAGGAAAGCTGATCTTTTAGAGAAAAAGAGAGAAATCAGGGGTAAATTCATTGGATGGTTCAGCAAAGATAGAGAGACAATTGTGTGGCACAGCAGAGGTAGAGGGTTGTGGCATAGGTGGGGGTAACTCGCAACTCTTGGCAGCTGCTTGATCCCAATGGAATCTCTCTCCCACCCTATCACTTGGGAAAATGCCTCAGATAATAAGATTACATTCAGGGATATAGAAAATACAGTGTCAATCAGCTGGCACAAAATTCTCTACACTGACTTCCTTTTAAAGAGATAGACAGTCTCAGGAAAAAGAATAGTCTGTGGGTTTATGTACTAACCACCATCACCCAGAGCTGTGCCTTCATAGCCAGAGACATCGTCCATGGGGGGAGCAGACGGTTCTTCTCCACTGGTAATGTCATCAGGAACGATGGCACCTACGGCATAAAGAGTTTAGCAATAGAAAGTTGTCATAACCTCCTCACTCAAACATGCAATGAACCAACTAGAGTATACAGAATGCTTTATATTGGGCCCAATTCTCCTCCCAGTCACATCAGAGCTACACAAGCATAAAACTGGTGTGAGAGGAGAATCAGACTGCTGGTCTTTAATCAAATAAGTGTTTGAGATATGCCAGGAAGTTTTGCCGTAAAAATGGTAGCAATGGGTGACCTCTGTCATGCACATGGAGACTACTGATGAGTAAACTTCCATAAGGTTTGAGGTGTGGCCAGGATAAACACCTATGAATCGAGATGTCTGGTTGACTCTCTTCGAAATAAGAGTCTGCAAAATAGGCCTGAAAATCTTATAAGAAAATCTGTGTTCCTGTGATTCTGTTTGATTCTTACTGCAATGGAAGTACCACAAACGCCTCTCCTGTGGTATTTCATTACTTTTGCTTATGGCTTAAGACAGAATGAGAAAGCACAGAGATTAAGTAAACTCAGGGGAAAATATTATCTGAGCACTTTTTCTTTTTAATCCAACCAAAACTTTACTGAAAGTTTTGAATCAATGCTTACCAGTGCAGGCGGATGAAATCTGAATGTCGGTAGCTGAAATTGACATTTAAGGAGGACTCAGAGCCTGTTTGAATCCACCTGTAGCAAACTATGACTCATGTTACTCAGAAGCAGCAAGACTGTTTCAGGAATGACACGGAGGAACTCTAGAGCAGTGCTTCTCAAAGTGGTGATCCGCGGACCGGTGCCGGTCCACGAGCCATCGGCTGCCGGTCCGCGGTGAGTTTCCTCATAAGAGCGTCGAATGGGATAATAATATGGCACCGGTCCCTGGCACATTGGGAAAAAAATTGCTGGTCCCTCACATCATTTAGCTTGAGAAGCACTGCTCTAGAGGAAGCCAGGCCTACCCTTGTTTTCTACCATAAGCAGGAACTGAAGATGAGGGAAAGAAAATAAATAGATCCTTCTGACCAGAGAACTGAGCTCTTGTGAAGAAATGAAAGTCTCTTGCACTCTCTCATTCTGAATTTCAGCATAGTGGTTCAATTTGCAATCGTTTAATTGCAAGCATTTTAATTGCAAGCATTTTAATTGCTGAACCACAAACACAACTCACTCAGCAGGAAAGAATGTAAATGACTTTATGCTGCTTCCCATTAACTAACTAGATGTTGGCGTTTATTCACAAAAATTTGCATTTAAGAGGACAATGCAATTTGTGCATTAATCTCTTCATGACTCCTTCTATGGAGTCAAAATTCCCACTGACTTCAAGTAAGGAGTGCAGGATTGGGAAAACCCGGTTGAAAAGGGACCCTGGTAGCTCCAGTCAGCACCACTCACCGGGCTGTTAAAAGTCCGGTTGGCGGCACTACAGGGCTGGCAGGCTCCCTACCTGGCTCTGCACGGCTCCCAGAAGCAGCCGGCATGTCCAGCCCTGCTCCTATGCACAGGGGCGGCCGGGCGGCTCCACGCCCATGGGTGCCGCCCCTGCAGCTCCCATTGGCTGCGGTTCCTGGCCAATGGGAGCTGCTGAGCCGCCGCTCGGGGTGGGGGCAGCGCACAGAGCTTCCCTGATCACTCTTGCACTTAGGGGCCGCAAGAACATGCTGGCCATTTCCGGAAGCTGCGCAGAGCCAGGTACAGAGCCTGCTTTAGCCCCGCTGTGCCGCCAACCAGGAGCTGGCTGAGGTAAGCGCCACCTGGCTTGAGCCCACACCCTACATGCCAATTCCCTGTCCCAGCCCTGAGGCCCCCCCACATCCAAATTCCCTCCCAGAGCCCACATCCTGAATCCCCTCCTGCTCCCAAACCCCTTGCCCCAGCTCAGAACCCCCTCCCACACTCCGAACCCCTTGGCCCAGCCCAGAGCCCCCTCCCGCACCCCAAACCCCTCATCCACAGCCCCACCCCAGAGTCACAACCAAAGCCAGAGCCCTCACCGCCTCCCACACCCCAACCCCCTGCCCCACCCCAGTAAAAGTGACTGAGGGTGGAAGAGAGCAAGCGACAGAGGGAGGGGGATGGAGTGAGTGGGGGACGGGACCTTGGGGAAGGGGCGGGGCCTCTGGGGAATGGGCGAGGTAAGGGGTGGGGCAAGGGTGTTCAGTTTTGTGCGATTAGAAAGTTGGCAACCCTAGATTGGGTCCATTCTGAGCTCCTTGTCAAAGATTGACATAAAAGAACTGACTCAGCCAGCAAAGCAAACATCAATGTCATGAGACTCATTGATTGCTAGGGTTTTCATACCAAAATATCCTTCAGCAGAGGCATGAGACATCTGATCAACAGCTCCATAACTCTGGCTGGAAACTCTGATCAAAAAAGCAAAAGAAAACAGATAATCTGAGTGTTTAGGAATAAACATGTAGAAAGATGGCAATGGGGAAGTGGACATGGAGAAATGAGAGAACTGGAGCAATGCTGAAGGGCATATGTAGAGAGATCGCAAGAAGAATCTTTTTGCTCTAAAGACATTTTATGGATTCTTTGGAATTTATGGAAACGTTGATGTGCTTTGTGCTCAGTACTTTTGAAAATCAGGCCACTTATTTAGGTAGCTAAATCAGGATTTGAGTAACTAAGTTATGCATTGACTTTTGTAAATCTCAGCCACTGTGCCTAATTTGGACGGAGACATTTTTTCTCCTTTAAAGCACCCTGGCCGTACCAGTCTAGAATATGCTTTATAATTGAGAAGGCATGAACTAATGTAGCTGTGCATTTCATATGCCAAGATATGATTTTATTTAGCAGACTACTGAACCTAGGTTGCAAAACAATATGACACACTTAGCTTGATGGATACTCCTACACAATTCTGAAAGGCCGTTATGATGCCACTTAATATCCATTCTTTATTGGGAAATATTTTCAAGATCACAAATGACCTCAAATTATAGACATACTGCTCAAGATGCTCCACCAAAAGCCTTCATTTGCATTTCCATGCTGACACTTGGTTTTGGAGGTGTAAAATCTGTCTGAAAAAATTGATCAGCACTGGAAATTTGTACCAAATCAGTTTCTTATTAGCCTGTGCAATAACATTGACATTTTGCATGTCTTAATAACTTCTGTGTTATAGAATCACTATGCTTGTCCACAAAGTGAGAAAGTTTCTCACTGTTTGAACGATCCATTTAAAAATTATTATATTAGAAACTTAACACACAAGAAAAACTGCCTTTCATATAAGCAAAATTGGGAGCCAAATAATACGTTAATGGAAGTAAGGTAATTCTATAGTTTCAACACTTGAAAAGCAACAAGTCTCAGCTCAGTGGTTACATCTATTGAGTACTGCTGATAGCACAGAACCAGCTATTCACAGAACTGGCTATTTCTTTGCCATCCCAGGGTTAAGATCAGCACCCGGATGAAGAGTAGCTGAATGAATCTGAATCCTGGAAAGGCTGAAGTGATGACAAAGAGAGGAAAGCACACTGAAGTCACCTCTATAGAACATGACTATCCAAGGAAGGCATCTGTCCTCGGGTGGTTTCCATGTCCTTCTAGGACAGCTACATCCCACTGAAATGGCAGAGCTGTGTCAGCCTTCAGAGTGAAACTCAAGTGTGCAAGAGAGAGAGCTTCTTCTGAGACAGGCCACAGATCTGAAACTCACTCTTAGAAGATAGTCTCAGCCACTTCAGGGGAAAACTCACAGCCCAATTCTCTAACCCAGCCAACCAGCTAAAACACTAGGACAAACACACACACACAGCGCAGTCCTTGCTCATGGGAGGGAAAGAGAAAAATCCCAGAACCTTTGCTGCTGTAAGTAGGGTGACCAGATGTCCCGATTTTATAGGGACAGTCCCGATTTTTGGGTCTTTTGCTTATATAGGCTCCTATTACCCCCTACTCCCGTCCTGATTTTTCACACTTGCTGTCTGGTCACCCTAGCTGTAAGTCACATATTTCAATGGAGTTACACTGATTTACACCAGCAGTGAATCTGGCCCCATATCTTTTGGGTGCACTTATCACTGGGGGGGGGGGGTCACACGACTCAGCTAGATCACCCACTCCGCAGCTAAAACCCTGTAGCCCACTCACCTCTCCCACTTCCTAGTCAAGCTAACACCAAAGCCCGGCTACATGAGGCTGAAACATGCTCCCCGTGGGGAAAACTTTGGGCTGCTCTGTGCGCAATTGACCCTGGTGCGCGTCCACTGCTTCCCTAGGCGAGCCCTAAAGGAAGCGAACGCCTGGCTCGTTGTTACGGCCCCAGCCCAGAGGATGTGTGTATTGATCGGAGGAGCAGAGGGGTAAGGATGAGCACGTCACATGGAGGGGGCCGCTGGGCGCTCCAGCTCTCTGGGTCCCTTGCCCCAAAGCCCCCCGTCGCTGTTGTCTCGGATCAGTGCGTTTCCAGGGCCCCTGCTCCACCCCAGAGCAGGCAGGGCCGCAGCGAAGAGAAACGAAAGTGAAAGGCAGGCAGGCTGCGCTCTCCCCAAAGGGCCTCCCGACCAGTCCCAGAGAGGAGCCGAAGTTAAAAGCCCTCACCTGATCGCCTGGCCCTCCGCTGCCATAGCTGCTGGGGGGGGTCCTGAACGCTGGTGCTGGGCTGCTCTACTTTGCCTACCCACCCACACCCACTTGTTCGCCGATGCTCTTCCTTGGGGAAGCCAGCCCCCTGCTTTTGGTTACGTCGTCTGCACCCTTCACTGGCTGGTTTGGTTGGACTCAAGTTACTGGCTCCTCGCTGTCTCTGCAGAGGCTGATGCCTGGAGCATTTAAAGTGTAGACTTACCCTAATTCACAATGCCTGAGGGACAATCTTCAGGCATCGATATATTGTGCTTTCCACAGCCAACTGTACAACTTTGCATGAGTGACGTACCCGAATACTGGGCTGCTAATATCTAAACTTTATTCTTAAATGTATTCCCCCAAATCTGCGTTCTTGCTGATTGTGTACCATATGAATTTTAAAAACAAACTTTGTATTTGTGGATAAGCCAAGCACTGTACCCAGATGTACAGACACTTTTTCTCAACCTGTGTCTTATATAATTTTAATGTTAGCTTTAATAAAAATTGGTAAATATGTAGGTAGTGCGTCCTCCTCCATTACTTTAAACCAACCAGGGCACTGAACTCGGCCAGATGTTAGTCTCTTATTGAGTGTGGATGTCACAGTGCTTGGTCCCAGGTGCAGAGGTTAGCGGCTCCGATCCTGGGTGCAGCTGTTACTTCGCTGATATATTTATTGTGGAAACTTTGTGGTTGCCGCTGCTGTTTTGAACAAGTACAACGTTAAAATGCATAGTGTCATTGGGATTGAGTGGTCTTGGCCCTTATGTGCTGAGTTCTGTTGTGCCACTCAGATGCACACTTCTAGGGACACCACCTGGCCACTGTGAAGATTGATGGTGTTGGTGCTAAAAATGTGTGTAAAAAAAAAATTGTTCTGCATCAATAACACACACACACACACACAGCTGCTAGGAGGTTATTGTCAGCTGTTGGATTTTGAATCAGTTGAGAGGTATAGAATAAGTACTTTTTCTAAGGAGATTCCTAAGAATATTTACATGGGGATTCCTGGAATATTTTTTAACTCTTTCAGTGCTGCACACCCTAGCATACTCTCACCTGATGCCGCTGTCATTGCATGCAAGGAACTTTCACAGGCTTCAGTACGAGTACTGCATGAAGCATAGATTTGGAATCATGCCAGAGGTGCTGGTGAGTGATTGGATAGTGATGGAAGATCCACAGTTTATACAACATGGCTTGTGGTTTCAAACATGTCCAGTAATTTGAAGCGGCTCAAATTAAGAGTGCCTACTTAAGTCAGAAATTGAGGCTCCCAAAATGAATGGTACTGAATATTTGGGTCTGTATGGCCAAGGACCCCTGTCATGGGGTTGATGAATTTTCCATAATAATAATAATAAATTATTTTAAATGAAAGATTTTGGATTTCAGAGGAAGGATTGCTCTGGACATAAGATTTCCAAATTTACCATGGACTTCCTGTGTGAACTTGGTCAAGTGACTTAATCTCACCATGCATGAATTCCCTATTTCTATGGGGTTAGGAGTACTTCCTGTCCCATTCTTTGGCTTGTCTCTTCAGTCTGTAAGCTTTGTGGGGCAGGCTTGGACTCTCAGCATTTGTGTGTACAGTGATTAGCACAATGGGGCCCTGCACTCTAGATGATACTGTATCATATTCAGTATCAGTATCATAACTGAGTCCTCCTAACAATCAGGTTACATGCTGCTTTGCTATTAAATTCATACTCTTTCAACCCACCACAATCTAAGAGTTCTCCTTAGGCCTCTTTTTTTATGTAGCATGTGGATATTTATGGGTGCATCTTGTTCCTTGGCCTTTATAGTTTTGTTCCTCGCCTCCTGAGTACAGTCATTAGGCTGTGTTCTGTTGCAACAGTAATCTAAATCTACCTGTTGATTCAATATTGAGTTATATTGGCTTCTGCAGGCTTTACTCGATAACCCAGGCTGCTCCACTCCAAATTGCAAGATCCACTGGCTAGGAAGGGCAATGGCTAAATTGTCTGTGGAATGCACTGGCTCATTGTCTCACAGGCAGCCTCTTCTAGTAGAATTCCTAAGGGAGAGACACGCCTCACTGAAAATATCCGCCAACTTCCTGTTTGGGTGAATCCCTGCTGACTTAGGGAAGTGCAGCGGAGGTGAAAAACTGTACAGGGTATCACTCACCAACTGTTAAAATGCAGCTACTTCCTGGGTGCTATGCAGCAGCCAGGGCCGGCTCCAGCGTTTTTGTTGCCCCAAGCGGCGGGGTGGGGGGGAGCCGCAATGGGCGGCACTTCTGCGGCAGCTCTACCGCCGCCGCTGCATTCTTCGGCGGCAATTCGGCAGCAGGTCCTTCCCTCCGAGAGGGACCGAGGGACCCGCCGCCAAATTGCCGCTGAAGACCCAGACATGCCGCCCCTTTGCGTTGGCCGCCCCAAGCACCTGCTTGCTGTGCTGGTGCCTGGAGCTGGAGCTGGCAGCGGCCATTTTGTACAGCAAGAGTGCGTGCTAGCTGTTGATTTTTAAAAGAAGAAATGAAACTCCCAAAGAGATGTTCCTTGTCATTGAGCAACATGTCCGGATTTGAGGAGGGAGGTTGGATGTTGTCTTCTCCCTTTCACTTGGTCTTTCACATGACCAACCTTCACATGGCATGCTGGCGAAAAGAGGAACTTCACTAACGCAGAGCAGCACAGGGCACTCAGCAATTTTTATTCTTAAACATGGGGGAAGTGATATTTTTTGAAAGTGACATAAAAATAATAAGCTATGTCATCAGTAATGCTTTATAAGATTTATAAAAGTAACCATCCAATGATGCTCAACATGGGTGCATTTGGAGGAAGAAGGCCATAAGCTGAGCGCCTCCAGTGCAAGGGAAGCACATGTATCTCACTGGACCTCATGCTCCAGCACACATCGCTGCTCTTAGAATAGCAAGAAAAATGCACATAGAGGAAAAATAATAAAGAATCAAATGTAATTAGATTTCACCCTGCAATATAAATGAGGGCAGAACCATAAATAGAACAGGAAACAATTCTGGAGCCTACAATGTCCAAGGATTCAGAATGGGAAGGATCTTCAATTGAAAATGGAACGTGTTGGAATGAGCACATTGAGACAATGTCCCTTTAAAGTGAAGGGTTTTGGTCACCATTTAGGATGGAACCTGCCACCTGGAGTGGTGGGGAATAAGCTAGAGTTAGTCCAGCATCCACCGTCACAAACTAATGGCGCTCTTACTGAGCAGGAGGAATATAGCGTGGCTGGCAGTGATAACTAGAACAGATACCACTGCAGATAGCAGGGCTTGTGGAACAGGAGCTCTATCAGGACAACCTGTTGGGGCTGCCATTGAGTGACAGTAACACTGATTCCACAACCTCCCCGCTAGCTTTGCTTCTGCCCTAAAAGAGTGTCAAGTGATTCACTAGAAGAGCGGACTTACACTGAGCCTCGAGAGATGGGTTCAACTCCAGGCTCTTCCACAGCCTTCCTGTGTGACCTTGGATATTATTTATTTATCGTATGATTGTAGCACCTAAGAACTCCAGTTGTGGACCAGGACCCCGTCATGTTATGCGCTGTACAAACACACACAAAAAAAGACAGGCCCTGCCTTACAATCTAGGTCTAAGCCAAGAGACAACACATGGATACAGATGTATTAATGGGGGATTAAAAGGAAACAAAGAGACAGTGTTGGTCAGCATGATCGGCAGTGATCTTAGCCCATGTAGATAGCTGGTGTGCTAACAGTTCCCTGCTTCTCAGGGTTGTTGTGAGGATAACTTCACTAATGTTTCTAAGGCTCTCATCTTCTGTGATGATGGGGGCCATATCAATAACGAAATGACTTTGCTTTTAAGGAACTCTAAGGTTCCAAAACTGTATCTTGAATTATGATGGAATAATTTATTCTGTTCCAATACTGGGAGAACACTAGAGGTCTTGGGTGAAATCCTGACTCTGTTGAAGTCAATGGAAGTTTTGCCACTGATTTCAGTGGAGTCAGGATTTCATCCTTTATCTACAGAACTCCTCAGCTGCAGGACCCCCCTCAGCAAGACAACCACAGCTAAAAGCTTTTAAAAATAGAGCACACAGGCATGACGCTTTTTGAAGGATAGCGAATTAGCTACTGGATATGAGACAGTTTTGTTGGCCTTTGTATTCCTGAATGAGGTAACGTGCCTTGTAACCTGTTCAAAAATGTTCTGGACCTGCTTATTCACAGAGTCGAGCAATGCAAGTGATGTCTAGTGTGCAAAACATTTCTCTTGTTTTGACCGATGAGGCCACGTAAGCCCATCACACATATTCCCTTTTGCAAATGTAAATGCAAATACCCAACTGATTTCCACATCTACCCTAGATGACTCAAGAACTCCATGCATCAGCTAGGTAAGCAAAGCAGTACAATTGCATTGCTAAAGAATCAAATATGTCTATAAATACAGCATGACATGGGGATAATTGTTGCAATTTATTTTATGTTGGCAACAGAGTAAAAGTCGAAGAAAGGAAGGCACACCAACAAAAAATGGAATAACTCCTTGATGGAATTGGACATGTACTTGTATGCTGAATGCCTAAACAAAATGTAATTAATATATTTTATTTAAAAAAAATAGAAAGAAATAGCAAAGCGAATTGAACTGAAGCACAAATCAAAAGCCAATTTGTTCCTGTCAACCTAATTCTGTATGGAGCAGAATAAAACAAGTGGTCTTGCTGTTGTTGTTTCTGCTGTTTAACACCGTACTCTTTGTTTCTGTGTTTCAAAGACTTTAGGGATCAAGAGATCACACTAGGTTCATGGACTTAGGACACACCACTGTAGATCTGTTTGATGGGGGCAAGCAATATTTCTCTGGAGATATACAGAATTTTCTCTGGCAATATAGTCTGGCTGGGTCAGATGATACAAACAATCTCTGGGGTAGATGAAGACTTGGTTTCTTTTCGTGCTACTGTATCTGTGTCTGTCTATGTCTATGGTGCTGTTTAGTGTCCATCACTGTAGTAGACCAAAATCTGTGGTGCACCTCCCAGGAGTCGCACAGCACAGACACAGCTACTGTTTCATGCCACCATAATTCTAACTGCTCCAGAGGTTGGTA